TATGCAGAAAATTCGGAGTGTGGAAATTAGGAGAAGGTGTGGAGTTAATAAAAGTACTAGTCAGAGGGCTGAAGAGAGGTTGTTGAGGTGGTTTGGTCATTTAGAGAGATAGGATCAAAGTAGAATGACATGGAGAGTGTATAAATCTGTAGGGGAAGGAAGGTGGGGTAGGGGTCATCCTTGAAAAGGTTGGAGGGAGGGGGTAAAGGAGGTTTTGTGGGCGAGGGGCTTGGACTTACAGCAGGCGTGCGTGAACATGTTAGGTAGTGAATGGAGACGAATGGTACAGTGGAACCTCAATTTTCGAACTTAATCTGTTCCAGCAGCTAGTTCTAAATTCGAAAATTTAGAAAAGCAAAGCAATATTTCCCATAAGAAATAATGGAAATACAATTAATCCATCCCAGAAACCCAAAAATATTCACAAAAAAGAAAATACATTTTATAGAGATTAATTATAGTTTTACATACACACTATTAATAAATAATTGTACTCTATAGTGTACAATTATTTATAAATAAATTTAAATAAACATAAAATAACATTTTTACTTACCTTTATTGAGATTGGTGATGGCATCTGGAAGATAGGGAGGAGGAGAGAGAGAGGGAGTTGGGGTTAGTGTTTGGATGGGGAATCTCCCTCTATAAGGACTTAGGTATCAAAGCCCTCTCTGGGGTTACTTCCCTTCTCTGTCTTTTAATGCCACTAGGACCAGCTTGAGAATCACTGGACCCCTGTTTCACAAAATAACTGTCCACAGTCCTCTGTTTTTGGCGCCTGTTTAAGATTTCCCTAAAATGGGACGTGGTTTTGTCACTGAACTTGTTGCAAAGAAACCAGTTATTTTATTAAAGGAAACCAGTTATTTTTATATAGCCGGACTTGAGTCCTGGAAATGGGAAGTACAATGCCTGCACTCTAAAGGAGGGCTTCAGGATATTAGCAGTTTGGAGGGATATGTTGTGTATCTTTATACGTATATGCTTCTAAACTGTTGTATTCTGAGCACCTCTGCAAAAACAGTGATAATGTGTGAGTGAGGTGAAAGTGTTGAATGATGATGAAAGTATTTTCTTTTTGGGGATTTTCTTTCTTTTTTTGGGTCACCCTGCCTCGGTGGGAGATGGCCGACTTGTTAAAAAAAAAAAAAAAGTTAGAGTTTTTTTTTTTAATGCGGCCATTTCCCACTGAGGCAGGGTGACCCAAAAAGAAAAGAAACTCAAAAAAAAGAAAAAACTTTCATCATCATTCAATACTTTCACTATCACTCATACATAATCACTGTTTTTGCAGAGGTGCTCAAATACAACAGCACCACTTTGACGGTTTTCTTCTTATTCTTTTTAGTAGGCTATACGGGAAAAGGGGTTACTAGCCCATTGCTCCTGGCATTTTAGTTGACTTTTACAACACACATGGCTTATGGAGGAAAGATTTTTATTCCACTTCCCCATGGATTTGAAAGGAAAATTAATAAGAACAAGAACTGTTTAGATAAAATCAAAGAAAATTCAGCTGAGCGTGTATACATACACATGTACATGCATGTGTAGTGTGACTTAAGTGTAAGTAGAAGTAGCAAGACATACCTGAAATCTTGCATGTTTATGAGACAGAAAAAAGACACCAGCAATCCTACCATCATGTAAAACAAAAACATGCTTCCGTTTTACACTCACTTGGCAGTGTGGTAGTACCTCCCTGGGTGGTTGCTGTCTACCAACCTACTACCTACTACTGTTAGAGATATCCACACATAAACATAATAATGATAAGTTGGCTTAAACTATGGTAAATAAAAGTGCAAAAAAGATATGATATGAATTTATAATTTATCAGTAGAAAATGTGATTACCTACAGTATTTGTAACTTCAAGAGCAGAGCTACGTTCATAGTGTCTTATCTTCAGTCTTTGCAGCAAAGTTATTAAATTACTACTCTACAGTACAATACAATATAATTTATTTCATTTATGCAGAATACTTAATATACTTTGCATATAATAAAAAATTGGTAGGCACAAAAGAAAGCCACTATTATGTAATGCATTTTGGGCAAACTAATCCTAATGCCTAAATGTTAATTGAGATTTAGACATAGATTATTAAGTAGGATTTCTTATGCAATTAACTAGTCATATGTACAATTAAAAAAGGTAACTGATGAGCAAATGGTACATTTCAAAGATATGACTAATTAATTTAGACTGATTCAATGATTTTCAGTTTTGTGGAGTGATTGAGTAGAGAAGGTGAAGATATAGGAAGTTAAATGATATGATGAATATCATTTACAGTGGTACCCCGAGTTTCGAACCCCTCCAACTCGAACAGTTATATAAGTTTATTATTGTAAGTGCTTTTGTATGGGTATTTTCGGGGGTCTGAAACGGACTAACCTAATTTACATTTTTTTTTATGAGAACAAATTCCTCCAGTATCGGCACTTGAACAGCCTTCTGGAACAAATGAAGTTCGAAACTCGAGGTACCACTGTATTCCACTTTAAAGGAATCATTAATTTCGATTTGGTTTACCTAGGATGTTTCAGGGCAAAATCTTTCATTTATACCAATTTCATGAAATGGATAACTTTTCTTAATTAGGTAAAGCACCATAATTAATACCTTCTAAAGTTAAAGGTCTTTTTATTATAAATTTATGAATCACTATGTAGTATTGTATGGTATATCATTTTCAATATGGAATAAATGCTGTAAGCTGAAATATGTTTGTCAAAATGGTCATAGGAAATTTAGCTGGCTATTATAATGATGTTATGCCACAGAACTAGGATAAAGATGTTCATGCAATACCATGGCTCAGTGTTCAATGTTAAATCATGAACACTGTCTGTGAGGGAGACTGGATGAACTCAAGAACGTAAGTAAACTCATAACATGACTTTCTGCTCTCTTTAGCAAACTGGTCAAATCTCTCTGCACCATTTTTTTTTCTTGAGTATGGAATGCATAACCTAGCAGATTTTGCATGCCTCTGATTCTGTGTTGTTATATGTGTTAAATCCTGTATTTTAATAACTGTATTTTTTTTGCCTCTTTTGTAGATAAAGCTAGCTAAAGCAGATGTGTTTATCTCGCTGTGTCTGCTGTTGAGTAGTGCTGATCAGTTTACCAACAATAGCTTTGCACATACACAAATAAGACTGAATATGAAGAATAAAATTCACAATACAGTGACTGGAATGACTTGCTACCAACTCAGAAATTAGAGATGAAATTAGACTAGATTTTACTTTATCCTGGAACATTATCAAGTCATGAGTGACTTTATAATGGGCTAGAAAGCCCAAAGCATCTAGTTATAAAAAATAAGGAGAGTTTCATGAAGCAGATTTAGGTAGTTAGGACCATGTGCTGGCTCAGCAGGAGAATGCCACTACATTTTGCAGTCTTTTTATCGTTTGGAATTTCTCTTGCAACATACATTAGGATGTTAAAATGTTGCATTTAAATGTGTACATTATTGTTTCATAATTTTGAGAGAGTGATGAATGTGTTTCTTGTGTTAAAGGATATGTTACTGGTTTGCAAGCACAGGGCCACACAGTGTAATCCGCCACATAGTTCAAACATCAGTACGTCCATATACGTATTATTTTTCCAAGCAGTGAACTATATGTTAAACATAATGTATTAACAATCTTTTCCTTAAGACTTTTGTTTATCCACTATATTGAAGCTATTTGTAATATATACAGTATTTGTACAATGAGCTTTCTTATCAAACTCCTCTATATATTTTATTTTTCATAAATACGTATAATAGAAAAATTGCATATAAAATTGAATAGTGTGTACCTATGAAGGCCTTTCCTTTCACAATTCAATTTTAGATCCATTTCAATCACTTTTACTGTATGGAGGAGCTCTATCAGAGACCTGACTGTTATAATTGGACAATTATATTTTCATCACAAACAGGTTTTTCCGCATTTTTTTTTATCTTCCCACACAGTTCCATAAACCGTTTGCACTGTTCACTGTTATACATGCTTGCACTAAGATTCTCTGTTATTGTCTTTTACTGGGTTTCTATGTACCTTTTATTGTGGTGTATCTTTTGTTAGAGGCATTATCTCTTTAACAGTATCTTTTGTTTATTTCACAAGATTGTTGTTGAATTTCCTCACACATGTAGTAAATGTTCTTGTAGCTTATAGCACTTCTTTAAATACTGAGTATAATATACCGTATGTGTATCCAAGCTTGCATACATATAGTATAACAGTTTCAGTATGTTTGTATTTAATCATGGATGTATATATGTATAATGTGAGAAGTCACAAAAAGTGCTGGGAATTTTGCTATTCTTTCACATTGGTCGTTCTGCATATATATTTATATATAAATATATATATCCACAGTATATATGTACATATGTACTGAGTAAAATATATATGTATTTAGGCATGGATGCATATATGTTTAGTATAGTATATGTGTTTACCAGCATAGTTACATATATACAGAGTACAGTATACTGTGTGTGTCCAGGCATGGATAAATCCTTATTCACATAACTTCTGAATTTTGTTGCTTGATTTGACTTAATAAAACTGACTATAAGCTATTTGCTTTACCCTTTTATTTGCTATAATGTAATAGCGTCAGAAATATGCTACTAAGAATTATAATGCTTACCTGCTCACGATATTAAAACTGCGCTGATAACATGCAGATTTATGATATTTTGGCCGTTTTAACTTGTATCTAATGATGGCCATTTCAACTTCTATCTAATCGTGGCCATTTAAAATTCTTTTTAATTATGACTGTTTCAACTTTGTCTAATAATGGCCATTTAAAATTCTTTTTAATTATGGCCATTTTAACTTCTGTCTAGCTAAAAGTCTTGAAAATATTTGTATTTTGTTGTAAGATGCATCTAATTGTTTTTAGATATCAAAATAGTAAAAATTATTGAAAATGTAAATACTTGAGAGTACAGGTAATGGTAATCACTGGTTCCACAGAGGTGGTAGCACTACCAGCACCTGCCACTGACCACACCCATGAGCATGTTCCCAAGGAGACGCAACTCAACCAACGAACATTCTGCAAGAAGGAAGACCAGCAACCTGATACACGGGTCGACACCTCTGCCCAGTTAGTAGTAAACCCATGGTGGTGTTGTACATATCTATATCACTCACATACACACACACACACACACACACACACACACACACACACCACACACACACACACACACACACACACACCTGGAGCACCTGGAACGGAACAGGAGTATAAATGCCAACCAGCACGGATTCACGGAAGGCAAATCCTGTGTCACAAACCTTCTGGAGTTTTATGATAAAATAACAGAAGTAAGACAAGAGAGAGAGGGGTGGGTTGATTGCATCTTCTTGGACTGCAAGAAGGCCTTTGACACAGTTCCTCACAAGAGATTAGTGCAGAAGCTAGAGCATCAGGCGCATATAACAGGAAGGGCACTGCAATGGATCAGAGAATACCTGACAGGGAGGCAACAACGAGTCATGGTACGTAATGATGTATCACAGTGGGCACCTGTGACGAGCGGGGTCCCACAGGGGTCGGTCCTAGGACCAGTGCTATTTTTGGTATATGTGAACGACATGACGGAAGGGTTAGACTCAGAAGTGTCCCTGTTTGCAGATGATGTGAAGTTAATGAGGAGAATTAAATCTGATGAGGACCAGGCAGGACTTCAAAGAGACCTGGACAGACTGGACACCTGGTCCAGCAAATGGCTTCTCGAATTTAATCCTGCCAAATGCAAAGTCATGAAGATAGGGGAAGGGCACAGAAGACCACAGACAGAGTATAGGCTAGGTGGCCAAAGACTGCAAACCTCACTCAAGGAGAAAGATCTTGGGGTGAGTATTAACCGAGCATGTCTCCGGAAGCACACATCAATCAGATAACTGCTGCAGCATATGGGCGCCTGGCAAACCTGAGAACAGCATTCCGACACCTTAGTAAGGAATCATTCAAGACACTGTACACCGTGTATGTCAGGCCCATACTGGAGTATGCAGCACCTGTTTGGAACCCGCACTTGATAAAGCACGTCAAGAAACTAGAGAAAGTACAAAGGTTTGCAACAAGGTTAGTTCCAGAGCTAAGGGGAATGTCCTATGAAGAAAGATTAAGGGAAATCGGCCTGACGACACTGGAGGACAGGAGGGTCAGGGGAGACATGATAACGACATATAAAATACTGCGTGGAATAGACAAGGTGGACAAGGACAGGATGTTCCAGGGAGGGGACACAGAAACAAGAGGCCACAATTGGAAGTTGAAGACACAAATGAGTCAGAGAGATAGTAGGAAGTATTTCTTCAGTCATAGAGTTGTAAGGCAGTGGAATAGCCTAGAAAATGACGTAGTGGAGGCAGGAACCATACACAGTTTTAAGACGAGGTTTGATAAAGCTCATGGAGCGGGGAGAGAGAGGGTCTAGTAGCAGCCGGTGAAGAGGCGGGGCCAGGAGCTAGGACTCGACCCCTGCAACCACAAATAGGTGAGTACAAATAGGTGAGTACACACACACACACACACACACACACACACACACACACACACACACACTCACTCTCTCTCTCTCTCTCTCTCTCTCTCTCTCTCTCTCTCCTCTCTCTCTCTCTCTCTCTCTCTCTCTCTCTCTCTCTCTCTCTCTCTCTCTCTCTCTCTCTCTTTTTTTTTTTTTTTTTTTTTTTTTTTTTTTTTTTTTTTTTTTTTTTTTTTTTTTTTTTTTTTTTTTTTTTACACAGGGTTTGACAAGGTTAAGGATCCCTAGCTTTATTGACAGCTATATTACAGGTTAAGGATTCCTAACTTTGTTGGCAAGCTAAGAGCTGTTACCTACATCAACTCATTTGAAAGCATTTTTATTGTTATGAGACATACAAGTACGGGACAGGATGAAGTTGGAGCCATCTGTGGGCCAGCATTTTCATTTGATCAACTGACTTTATCTCGTTGATATCATTATGCTGTACGAATGTGTTCCATACTCGAGTCATCCTGGGTATGTATGATCTCAGATGGAGTGATGTTCTGGAGAAGGGTACAGCCAGAGTGAAGTTGCTGCTTTCTGCCCGTCTTGTGGCATAAAAGCTTGTTTCTCTCTCTCTCTCATGCACACACACGAGAAGAATTAAATCGGCAGGACTACAAAGAGACCTGGACAGGCTGGTAGCCTGGTCCTGCAACTGGCTCCTTGAATTTAACCTCATCAAGTGCAAAGTCATGAAGATTGGGGAAGGGCAAAGAAGACCGCAGACAGAATATAGGCTAGGTGGCCAAAGACTGCAAACATCACTCAAGGAAAAGGATCTTAGGGTGAGTATAATACCGAGCACATCATCCAGATAACTGCTGCAGCATATGGGCACCTGGCAAACCTGAGAATACCATTCCAGTATCTCAATAAGGAATCATTCAAAACTTTGTACACTGTGTACATCAGGCCCATATTGTAGTATACAGCACCAGTTTGGAATCCACACCTGGTCAAACAAGTAAGGAAATTAGAGGAAGTGCAAAGGTTTGCAACAAGACTCGTTCCAGAGCTAAGGGGAATGCCCTATGAAAAAAGGTTAGGGAATTTGTCCTGACAACACTGGAGGACAGGAGGGTTAGGGGAGATATGATAACAACATACAAAGTACTGCACAGAATTGACAAGGTGGACAGAGACAGAATGTTTCAGAGATGGGACACAGAAACAAGGGATCACAATTAGAAGTTGAAAACTAAGATGAGTCAAAGGGATGTTAGGAAGTATTTCTTTAGTCACAGAGTTTTCAGGAAGTGGAATAGTCTGGCAAGCAATGTGGTGGAAGCAGGAAACATACATAGTTTTAAGATGAGGTATGATAAAGCTCATGGAGCAGGAAGAGAGAGGACCTAGTAGCAATCAGTGCAGAGGCAGGGCCAGGAGCTATGACTCAACCTGTGCAACCACAAATAGGTGAGTACACACACACTCAATCGACCTGATGACTGGAGGACAAGAGAGATAGGGGGGATATAATGACATATAAAATACTGAAGGGAATTGACAGGGTGGACAGAGACAGGATGTTCCAGAGATGGGACACAGCAACAAGGGGTCACAGTTGGAAGTTGAAGACTCAGATGAGTCACAGGGATGTTAGGAAGTATTTCTTCAGTCACAGAGTAGTCAGGAAGTGGAATAGTCTGGGAAGTGATGTAGTGGAGGCAGGATCCATACATAGCTTTAAGAAGAGGTATGATAAAGCTTGTGGAGCAGGAAGAGTGACCTAGTAGCAACCAGTGATAGAGTGAATTATGGTAGAAGTGTTTCTTTTGTTTTTGTTTTGTTTCATATGAGTGATGGACATAGACTCATGTGTTTTGAGAACCTATGTACCATCAAGCATTCTCACTTTTCTTGCCACCAGGGTGACAAAGTTGCGACAAGAGATGGGGAGTCATCGTCTGGATGCCTACATCATTCCCATGTCAGGAGAACAAGTAAGCAGAAAACTTTTGGCATTAGCATAAATATGCATTAGTGTTGTCATTTTATTATACTGCCATAATTTTTTATAACAAGCATCTTGTTTTTAAATCTCACAATAAATTTTTGTACTGAGAATAGCATAATTTAAATTTCTGTGAAAAATGGTGTATACTGTAGCAGGAAAACTTAAATGGACATTTATATATGAGCATTTTACAAATTTGGGTTCCAATTCTTCAATTTTCCCATTGTATTTACATGACATAGCAGGGAATAAACCAATATATCTTGTATATCAGCCTTTGATATTCTGTGTTTAGAAGGCTAAGATGACAAAAATAAGAAATAATGGTATCCTGCATATATTCACTCATTTCTCCTTGAAAGCATGGCATTCAAACACCAGCAGAGCAGCGCCTACATTATATGACTGGTTTTACGGGAAGTTCTGGTGAGGCAGTGGTGACGGCAGATGAGCAAGCACTGTGGACAGACGGACGTTACTTCCTTCAGGCGGATAATGAGCTGGGATGTGATTGGTTACTCATGAAGGAGAGGATTGATGGTGTAAGTGCTGGGTTATCTATACATGTCCTCATTTTTGGATGCATTTATTGTGTGATTGTCAGATAAAATTTATATGCAACTTCCATTTGCAAAATTTGTTTTGGCTCAATGTTAAACTATATGCAGACTTGTACATACAGCAAATTACAGTATTTATATTTGTAATATCTGTAAGTTAATTCTTTCAGTTATTGCACACTGCTAATTTATTAGTGACACTTATTAAAGGTAGGTTTCCTGGTACATAATATACATTTATTGTTAATTATATTGCTTGTTTTTACAACTTATTTTGCTTGTTTACAAATGAGTAATTTATGCTAATGTGTCACGTTATTACTGTCATTTTATCACTTAGTTTGTACATTATATCCTTGTACTATTGTAAGATTCTCTTACTGCTTTACTGTACAGCTATATTTCCACCACAGGTCCCAACAATAACAGAATGGCTGAGTCAAAAGCTGTCTGGCGGAGCCAAAGTGGGCGCCGACCCTAGACTCATTGCTGCAGATACTTGGAAAACTTATGCAAAGGAACTTAAGAGTGAGACAGAATGACAGATTCTTTAGTGTAACTCCATTTGTATTTATGTAAATAATTATTTTCATACACTACATACATGTATGCTCTGTACTATAACTTCGTGAATGGCTAAATTCACTCAGCATTTGTAACAAGATTTTAATATATTAAACTAATCCACCAGAGTCAGGCATCGAGCTGGTAGCAGAGGAGACCAATTTGATTGATTTAATATGGCCCTCTGATGAACGACCAATCTTCCCTGCTGATCCAATCTATATACATGAGCTCCATTTTGCAGGTCAGTGCAACAAGATATATGTTTAGTTAGTGTAATATAAATGAATAAAGTATGCATATACTATATACACATTATACATTGCTCCTCGACTTATGACAGGGGTTGCATTCCAATATATCCTTTGTAAGTTGAAAATATTGCAATTACTGTAACTGACTAATTACCAGTAATGATTAATAAATAAATGAATACAAGTTTATCCTATCAATAAATGTACAGTACTGTACGGTACAAAAAAAAAGTTTTACACCATCATAAACTCGAAATATAAGTCAAGCCATTGTAAAGTAAGGAGCATCTCACATAGTTATATGAGCAGATAGAAATGTGGTGCACTGACTTATAAAAAGTGATAAACATAAAGAGTACATTTTTTTATTTTGACCTACCAGCCATCTCACACCAAAGTAGGGTGACCACAAAAAAAAGAGATGCATTCACATCACTCATATGTTTTGCCATAAGTGTGCAAAAATCACAATTCAAATGATCCTCTGAAATGCAACATCCTCATCACTCCTTGAGAGTGCAAGCAGTGTACTTTTCACCCCCAGGGCTCATGTCCAGCTAATAGGTTTCCCTGAATCCCTTCATAAATGTTACCTTGCTCACACAAGCATACTAGATGGTCAAGCCCTTAGCACTCAAAACCTCCTTTACCCCACCTGTCATCCCTTTCTATAATGACTCTTGCCCCTCCTTCCTGCCTTTCCAGATTTGTACATCCTGTTGTTGGTCATCCTATTCTGCTCCCTTCTCAATATCCACAACTCCTGTAAATACAGTTGTGCATGCATATGTTTATCTATATGTTACTACAGAAACAGAGCTGATGTGGGTATTTATGTTTGTGTGTGTGACAGGCAAGAAGTGGGAAGAGAAAGTTTCGGAAGTACGGAAAGAGATGGTGGAACAAAGTGCCGACATGTTGGTGATTACCGCCCCAGATGAGGTGGCTTGGCTCCTCAACCTACGAGGCAATGATGATTCCAGCACACCAGGTAAGCCAGCACAGTGCTTTTTCACTTTTACATATGACACTAATACCAGTTCACAAGTTAAAACCATTGTATAATTCAGATAGTAAAATGGTAGACTGCAACTATTCAAAGAAATACTATCCTCTTGGTGTATGATTGAAAAAAAGACTTGTTAATCATTTTTGACTTCCAAACAATTGATGGTATTTGCTTAGTATTCTGTACTTAAGTTCATTATATACACTTCTTGTTTCCTTGTGTTTCTTAGTACATAGCTCTTAATGCTGTTAGGTTTCCATTACTACTTTTGGTGAAGTTAGTTACATTGCTTCCTCTATAACCATGTGTGTCATAGCTGACTTGACATATGTAAGGAGACATTGAATACTACAATAGCTGGAGGTATGTTATAATCTAGAAAACTTTTTATTTTCAGTATTCAGGGCATATGTGATAATCGGAAGGAACAATGTAGAACTGTTCGTGCCCCAAGGCAAGATCACCCCAGCTGTTGATAATCATCTCAATGTAAACCAGTGTGGGGAGCAAGAATGCGTGATGTGAGTCCTTATTTTTTGTACAGAAAATAATTCATCATATGATCTCCATCCTAGGCTGGCCTACATGTTGACCCTTAATTGTTTACAGGATAGGTTAGGTAAGATTCGTCAGGAAACAGGGCAAGTGTTTCCTGACATGGGTCTTAGTCATATGATGACCTGCCGCTGGAGCTTTTGGTCATCTGACTGAGGCCTTCCACTGGCTTACTGATCTGCCCCTTTAAAAATTAGGCTTAATGCAGTTATTTACACAATTTCTTAAATTCATCAGAATGTAAAATCTCACCTTTCTGTTCATTCTCACACATTCGTAATATTTAATTGAAATGATACTTACTGGGTATTTTTATCAAGAGGTACATAGTAATTATGTAAATTGTGGCCTTAATGATCCTAGTAATTGATGGGACTTGAATCTCAACACTTAATATGATTGTAGTGAAAACAGAATAAGAGGTAAAATGGCATTGTAATACTGAGATGTAACACTTACCTGTTTGTCATGACCACACTGCCTGGCTAACTACAAGCTTCAGGTCATCAAGATTACACTGGCAGGCCAGTTATAAGCTTATTTAAGGACATCAACACCACACTGGTGGCCTAAATGTAGGCAAGGCTATCAAGACAATACTGATAGACCAGCTGTAAGCAAGGTCATCAAGACAATACTGGTAGACCAGCTGTAGGCAGGGTCATCAATACAACACTGGTAGACCAGCTGTAGGCAAGGTCATCAAGACAACACTGGTAGACCAGCTGTAGGCAAGGTCATCAAGACCATACTAGTAGACAAGTTGTAAGCAAGGTCATAAAGACCACACTGGTGAGCCAGTCATGTGCTTAAAGCCTTCAGGGCTACACTTATGCAAAAGTCATCAAGACTACATTTGTGTAGGAGGAGGAAAGAAGGGAAAGGGGCAGGCCAGACCAGGTCAGACAAAAGTAATAGAGATAAGGCATGTGTAGCCATGATAAATGCCCAGTGTCTCCACCAACTTCTTTATGTCCACAGCATTACTGAGTACTCGGCCATCTTGAACCGCCTTCGGGCCCTCATACTCAAAAATGGCATCACTAAGGTCATGCTTGATTCTAAGTACTCCTACTCTGGTGGTGCTTCCTATGCCATCTACTCTGCGGCAAGTATAATGGTTTACTTTTTTTTTTTTTTTGTTGTGTGTGTGTGTGTGATATTCTATGTGCCAATCCCATTCTTAAAAAAATGAAGTCTGAAGGTTCAGATTGGAGAGGTTAAAAAACAAAATATCTTTGAGGAACTCATAGTCTTCATTCTTCATTGTGAAGATCACATTGGTGGGCCAGATTTAGGGTTACACCCACACAAGATCTTTCAACAAACTGACTGTATACCACTGAGGCAGGGTGGCCCAAAAAGAAAAACAAAAGTTTCTCTTTTTGACTTTAGTAATGTATACAGGAGAAGGGGTTACTCGCCCCTTGCTCCTGGCATTTTAGTCACCTCTTACAACATGCATGGCTTACAGAGGAAGAATTCTGTTCTACTTTCCCATGGAGAAACCACACAAGATATCCCTTAAAAAAATTATTTTAGCAGCAGGAGAGGAAGAAAGACATTGTATATCTTTAAAGATATAACTCAAAAATGTACATCAAGGCAACACTAATGGATAAAGTTTGAGTTTAAGGCTCAAGCAGATTATTTATATTAAAGAAAAGTTTTGTCCAGTAATTATACAGGAAGCTGATGTGGTATTTATGGGATACAACACAGATGTGGCCGTAAGAGGCAAAATCATATCACTGCAGAGACCACTTGTCCATCTGTTCCAGACATGTACCTGATTTCTATTTATTACTGAAAGTTTATTGCTGGAAATAAACCTCAAAACCGTAACATCACCCCTAGTAATTAAAATCATCGAAAGGAAACAAGAGGCAGACCAAACTTTTTCTTATCAAAATGTTCCTTGAGTATGCATATAATAATCAAAACATCATATAATAACTAATACTAAATTCCAAAACATCCAAACAGACCTTAGCACACTACAACTATCAGTTAAAAATCAGAGTAATCTCTTCCTTGTTTTTACTCCTGAACTTCCAGTGACAGGACAGAACGAAAAAATCACTATCATCTTAATCTAGTCATGAGGTCATCTAGGGAAATAAAATTACAGAAATTAGCCATATCTCAAGTCAGCACCAATTACAAAGAATAATAAGCAAATTGAAATGGCATTTGCTTGAAACATTGCCCTCATGAGCACCTCATATATAGATGGTACTGAGTTACCTTATGCATAAGTTATCAATTTAACTTACAGAAAGGAAAAAAAGTTGCAGATATTACTGACAATCAAATGAACATTCTCTGCAGCACTATCTCTTAAATTGTAGTAAGTTTAAATCATAACATTAATGGAGTGATTCTATAGCCGGACTGGAGTCCTGGAAATGGGAAGTCCAATGCCTGCACTCTAAAGGAGGGGTTTTGGGATATTAGCAGTTGGAGGGATATGTTGTGTATCTTTATACATATAGCGCTGTACAACCCTTGTGGCTTAGCGCTTCTTTCTGATTATAATAATTTATACATATATGCTTCTAAACTGTTGTGGTCTGAGCACCTCTGCAAAAACAGTGATTATGTGTGAGTGAGGTGAAAGTGTTGAATGATGATGAAAGTATTTTCTTTTTGGGGATTTTCTTTCTTTTTGGGTCACCCTGCCTCGTTGGGAGACGGCCGACTTGTTGAAAAAAAAAAAAAATTAATGGAGTGTCTATAGAATGAAACTATATCATTAACAAATACAGTTTTAATTTTCTTCCCTAAGACTTGCGTATATTTTAAGTCCCTATCAGTAATATGTACAAAATATAAAAGTATCAGTAGTACATGTATAAGTAATTAAAGTATATTTTTGAGTATAGATTAATAAAATTTAAATTTGAAAATGAAATTTCACCTGAACATACCACCCTTAACATATTTAGTGAATTCACTCAAAATTATAAGCAAAAACTAGAATTCAACTCAAACATTGGCATTTTAATAAGGTAATGGCATCGTGTTGTTTCACCTCTTTAACTTCAGTCACTTCCACCATAGGTGCCAGAAGAAAAACGGTTAATGGTCATTTCTCCAGTGTTACTGATGAAGGCACGAAAGAACCCCATAGAAGTACTGGGTATGAGGAACTCCCACATCAGGGATGCTGTTGCTGTTTGTGACTACCTTACCTTCATGGAGAAGGAGGTGGGTCACAGTGTCTCAGAATAACATACTAATTGCCCAGGGTACTGTCTCACCAGCTTAGGATTTTTATTATCTGTGTAGAACATATTTGTGTAGGGCAGCTTATAATTGTTAGAAAATGATTTTATATTGGGTTATAAATATATAAGACACCTCATCTATGGTAATTATATATACAACTTGTCTGTCTAGACTACTATCTGGCCTACTGAGGCTTCTCATTTTGTATATAAACTCTTGTAAGAAATATACATCAGCATATATAAATAGTGTTGGCCTTAAGTGTTCATTTTAAATCTATTTTTCTTCATCATTTGGCAGATAACACTGGGGAACTCATGGAATGAGATGGAAGGAGCTGACAAGCTGCTGGAATTCCGCAGTCAGCAGGAGCACTTTGTGAGCATTTCCTTCCCCACCATTAGTGCTTTTGGGCCCAATGGTGCCATTATTCATTACCGACCCCAACCAAACAGCAGCCTAGAGATTACCACTGAGTCTCTCTACCTGGTGGACAGTGGTGGGCAGTACAAGGGTGAGTGAGAATCTTGCCTTTACTTAATGGACAGTATGATAATATAAGGATGAATGGATGTGGTGGACATTGTCATTGCCAGAGTAGATTTCAGTATTATAATTAAGAATACTCATCCTTACAGTGCATCAAAGAGTATTAGAGGACATCCAGTAGCTTACCATATTGTTATAAGGTAAGTCAGTTGAGTGAAAGGTGAAGATTGACACACTTATGCAATATATGGGAATCTTTATTGAGGAAACGTTTAGCCACACAGTGGCTTCATCAGTCCAATACAAAGCAGAAAGGTGTAAGGAGAGGAGGAGTTTGAGGTAATCAGTCCCTCAGCCTGGAGTCGATGTGTTCAGTCCATCAATCTTGTAGAATGTACAGCATAGGGCCGTAGACGTGGCTTATATACTGTTGTCAGGTGAAGCGAAGCAGGAGGAGGCGGGGTCATAGTGGTACCATCCACTAGTTGAAGTAGGTCTTCGTCCAAAGGTTGGACAAGTTTTGAAGAATCCTTTGTATCAAGATCCCATGATGATGCAGTGTCTGACAGTTGTGATGAATAGATTTGAAAACCGACAAGTTGAAGATTGAGACACTTATGCAACATATGGGAATCTTTATTGAGGAAACGTTTTGCCATACAGTGGCTTCATCAGTCCAATACAAAGCAGAAAGGTGTAAGGAGAGGAGGAGTTTGAGGTAATGAGTCCCTCAGCCTGGAGAAAGGTACCAGCATTTTACCTAGAGAACAGCAGAAGAGTGAAAATCCTTCATGTGAGGGCCAGTACAAATATGAGTAGGAGATATAAGTATCTCTGGAATATATAGTATATAGTCATAAAAAAACACTATACCCAGAAGTGATACAGTGCTGAAGAAACATAGGTAATTAGTTTGATCCAAGAAGTTCTTGGCTCAAGCCTTTCACCAGAATCAAGGCACCCGTCCTTGGGTCTTTATCTGGTGAACCATGGAAGTTTACCTGGAGAGGGGTCAATGCCCCCTGCGGCTCGGTCTGAGACCAGGCCTCGTATAAGAGTAGGAGGAAGTCATCAGCCTGTTAAACATGTAAAGATACAGGATGAAGCAGATGATTTTGTTTGGATTATTAATCTGGGGAGTTAGTAATCCAGATAAGTGGAATCTTTTTATCGTTTACAGCACCTGGTAAACAAGAAGGGACACATCAGAATCTTTAGTAATAGTAGTGATAATAAATTAAGATTAGAGCAGGATCAACCTGGGAAAAAAGGAGAGGTGGAAAGACATTGTATCATTGATACAGAGACCTAGTGGTGAAGGTCCAAGCAGAAATACCTGCTTCTCACCATCACGCTCCTCCATGGTATAGGAGGAAAGATGTTGTATCACTGAGATTTAATACACACTCTAATGAGATTGTGTTAGTAGATAAGCTGTAAGTTTAAAGGCCTATGTAAGTTGAACTATAGTACCTGTAGTCAAATTACCCCTATTGTTGTTTTTTATTTCATTAGGCCTTAGACAAGGATGTGTGATGTCACCGTGGTTGTTTAATATATTTATAGATGGGTTGTAAGAGAAGTAAATGCAGGGTTTGGCAAGAGGGGTGGAGTTTAAAAGATTTAAAAAATCACACACCAAATGGGAGTTGTCACAGCTGCTCTATGCTGATGACACTGTCTTCTTGGTGATTCTGAAGAGAAGTGCAGAGATTGGTGGATGAATTGGTAGGGTGTGAAAAGAAAAATTAAAGGATACAGGAATAGAGTAAGGTTATGGATAACAAAAAGATTAGGTAATGAAAGATTGGGAAAATCAGATTGGGGGGGGAGAGAGTATGGAGGAGGTGAACGTTTTTCAGATATTTGGGAGTGGACGTGTCAGCGGATGGGTCTATGAAAGATGAGGTGAATCATAGAATTGATGAGGAAAAAGAGTGAGTGGTGCACTTAGGAGTCTGTGGAGACAAAGAACTTTGTCCTTGGAGGCAAAGAGGGGAATGTATGAGAGTATAGTTTTACCAACGCTCTTATATGGGTGTGAAGCGTGGGTGATGAATGTTGCAGCGAGGAGAAGGTGGAGGCAGTGGAGATGTCATGTCTGAGGGCAATGTGTGGTGTGAATATAATGCAGAGAATTCGTAGTTTGGAAGTTAGGAGGAGGTGCGGGATTACCAAAACTGTTGTCCAGAGGGCTGAGAAGGGTTGTTGAGGTGGTTCGGACATGTAGAGAGAATGGAGCGAAACAGAATGACTTCAAGAGTGTATCAGTCTGTAGTGGAAGGAAGGCGGGGTAGGGGTGCCTAGGAAGGGTTGGAGGGAGGGGTAAAGGAGGTTTTGTGTGCGAGGGGCTTGGACTTCCAGCAGGCATGCGTGAGCGTGTTTGATAGGAGTGAATGGAGACAAATGGTTTTTAATACTTGACGTGCTGTTGGAGTGTGAGCAAAGTAACATTTATGAAGGGATTCAGGGAAACCGGCAGGCCGGACTTGAGTCCTGGAGATGGGAAGTACAGTGCCTGCACTCTGAAGGAGGGGTGTTAATGTTGCAGTTTAAAAACTGTAGTGTAAAGCACCCTTCTGGCAAGACAGTGATGGAGTGAATGATGGTGAAAGTTTTTCTTTTTCGGGCCACCCTGCCTTGGTGGGAATCGGCCGGTGTGATAATAATAAAAAAATAAAAAATATTGTTATTATTATTAAATTCACAGAAATCACTAAACTCATGAGTTATTTTAATGTTAGGTGCATATTTTTATCCACTTAAATAACAACTCCTAAAAATATTTAATAAATTTAAAGGTAAACTTTAATTTTTCTTCTCCCCTCTCACCTTTTAACCAGACGGGACAACGGATGTTACACGAACAATGCACTACGGGGAGCCAACACCCTTCCAGGTGGAGGCTTATACCAGGGTGTTGACAGGTGTAATTGACCTGGCCATGCTTGTCTTCCCTGAAGGCACAGGAGATACTGACATAGACATTCTTGCTCGCAGGTGTGTACTTGATTACCTAATTATTTACCTATTTGTGAATGCTCATTTGTATAGTAATTACAGAAGTAGAGCTAGTGGTGTTGGTGGTTTATTTGTCAGGAAATGCCTGTAATGCTTTGCATAACCATGGGCTTTCTGTGTACACAACCAAAATGTCACTTATTTCTTTATAAACATTGTACAATGTGGAAAGAAATCTTTGACCTTGACTTTGACAAGTGTCTTGTGACATAAGTCTTGTCAAATGATAACCTGTAACTGGTTAAACATCCAATAGCTTACTAGGTATTTCACCCCATTCAAATAAAAAATTATGACTACATTATAGTGTATCTTAGATGATACCTTGATTGGAATGTTCATGGTGTCCCATCATCAGTATTTAGTTTCTGGCTTTCTGAAGTTGCTGTACACATAACCTCTTATTGGATTCTTTTCCTACTATTTATGAATTAGTATTATAGGGAAGTGCTAAATCTGCCTGAGCAATTGGAGTTTATCAGGTTTGATCCTAGAAAGGGAAGAGTATCATTAATTCCTTGAATTAAGAATCCTTCACCAGCATCAAGGCACCACATCTATGACCTGGAGTTTACCTGGAGAGAGTTCCGGGGGTCAATGCCCCCGCGGCCTGGTCTGTGACCAGGCCTCCTGGGGGATCAGAGCCTGATCAACCAGGCTGTTGCTGCTGGCTGCACGCAAACCAACGTACGAGCCACAGCCCAGCTGGTCAGGTACCAACTTTAGGTGCTTGTCCAGTGCCAGCTTGAAGACTGCCAGGGGTCTGTTGGTAATCCCCCTTATGTATGCTGGGAGGCAGTTGAACAGTCTTGGGCCCCTGACATTTACTGTATGGTCTCTTAACGTGCTAGTGACACCTCTGCTTTTCATTGGGGGGATGTTGCATCGTCTGCCAAGTCTTTTGCTTTCGTAGTGAGTGATTTTCGTGTGCAAGTTCGGTACTAGTCCCTCTAGGATTTTCCAGGTGTATATAATCATGTATCTCTCCCGCCTGCATTCCAGGGAATACAGTTTTAGGAACCTCAAGCACTCCCAGTAATTGAGGTGTTTTATCTCCGTTATGCGCGCCGTGAAGGCTCTCTGTACATTTTCTAGGTCAGCAATTTCACCTGCCTTGAAAGGTGCTGTTAGTGTGCAGCAATATTCCAGCCTAGATAGAACAAGTGACCTGAAGAGTGTCATCATGGGCTTGGCTTCCCTAGTTTTGAAGGTTCTCATTATCCATCCTGTCATTTTTCTAGCAGATGCGATTGATACAATGTTATGGTCCTTGAAGGTGAGATCCTCTGACATGATCACTCCCAGGTCTTTGACGTTGGTGTTTCGCTCTATTTTGTGGCCAGAATTTGTTTTGTACTCTGATGAAGATTTAATTTCCTCGTGTTTACCATATCTGAGTAATTGAAATTTCTCATCGTTGAACTTCATATTGTTTTCTGCAGCCCACTGAAAGATTTGGTTGATGTCCGCCTGGAGCCTTGCAGTGTCTGCAATGGAAGACACTGTCATGCAGATGAAGGGGATATTTGTGAAGAAATATATATATATATATATTTTTTTTGACCTACCTTTTTTGTGGTTTATAATTGTGATCTCTGTCATGGTTATATATGCTATTTTGGCACTTTTTTTTTTTTTTGTAAGAACATCTGACTTATTTTCAAAGCCATTACGATGAAAGTTACATACAGTGGACCCCCGCATAACGATATTAATCTGTTCCTGAGAGCTCATTGTTATGCGAAATTATCGTTATGCGAAATTATCGTTATGCGAATGAATTTTCCCCATAAGAAATAATGGAAATCAAATTAATCCGTGCAAGACACCCAAAAGTATGAAAAAAAAAAATTTTTAAACCCCCTAAATATACTTTTTTCCTACACACAAAGAGAAGGTTTCATGCACAATAGCAGAGAGTCATGCACAGTATTTATTGGGCATGTTTCCCCTCTACTAAATGAAAATAAATGACACTTACTTTATTAAATGAGCAATTTACTGATGAGACCCGTGTCCTGGGGGGGTGCCTTTTCCTCCCGAGTATGTAGGTTCCCGTTTGGCATTTTCTTCCAGAACGGGGCCCTTTTCACACTGTGTATTCCACTACAATTCCCTTTTTTCTCCAAACCAACCCTTTTCGGCTTTTTAAAATTTTCCCCAATTTTGAGCCTTTGTTCCAGGCATTTTTTTCCCCGTTCAAACCCGGGTTTTAGTCGACTGGTGTGGGGTTTCATCCTGGGAGACCCAAAAAAGGAACCCCCGTGGGGAAAAAAGTTAAGACAGTCTTTTTGAAAGACACTGACTTTTTTGGGTTTTTCCTGGGTGGCAAAACCCCGGGGGTTAAAATTTTTTCTTTTGGTAAATTTTCCCAAAAAGCCCCCACCCAAAAACGGGTGCTAAAAGCAGCAGCTGAAGTGCTACAGCAGCGCTTACAGGGGGCTTTCACAGCACTGAAAAGTGGGAAAAGGGAGCAGCAGACGGGGGCTTCAGCAGCAGCAGACGGGACTTAAAAACCCCCAGCAGCAGCTGACGGTGGGAAAAGCAGCAGCACAACACGGTGCTACAGCAGCAGCACACTGAAAAGTGCAGCGCCCCAGCAGCGACAGTGAAAACAGCACAGCTGGGCAGTTTTTACAGGGAGCCCGCAGCAGCGCTGACGTGCTACGCAGAGGCAAAACAGTGCTACAGCAGCAGCAGACGGTAAATACACAGCAACGCTGACGGGGGACGCAGCGCACAGCTGACAGTGCTTTCAAGGGAGCAACAGCCCGGTTTAAAAACAGCAGCAGCAAACCCGACGGTGGTTTAAAAAAAAAGCAAACACAGCGCTGAAAGGTGGGTTTTCAGCCAGCTGAAATTGGGGAAGCCCGCAGCAGCATCAGCAGTTAACCCTGGTTTTCCCCCAGTTTTTTCGATAATAAATTTTTCCCCTTTTTTTCCACAGGGTTGGCACTAAACTTTTTTGGGGCCCCCATGGCACTTATTTTGCAGATAAAATCCCCAAAAAACCGGGAATAAAACAAATTTCCGATTGTATGCTTGGATTTTTACTGGGAGGCGGTTGTAAAAAATGCCCCCCGGCGGAACATGGAGACGGGGCTCAGGCCGCACTTTAACGCTTTCGGACAAATAGCTTTGACGGGTTTTTTAGTGGTATGCAGGCAAAATCTTAGCGTAAAATGTACGTATGGGGTTTTTAAGTTATGTGATCCAAGGGAAATCGGGGGTCCACTGTATATCCCACTTATATGCTCTTAAACCCCTCTTAAAGTTCAACCTTACACGCCCTCCACTTCCCCCGGGCCGGCCCCGAAGTATAAACTTTCAAAACTCTTTTAAAAAAGGTATGTGTTTGTTTTTAATGGGGAATGTGAAAAAAGCTAAATTTCATTGGGAAATCGATTTATATTAAGGTTTCTAGTCAACTAAAGACCTGCATTAACCTTCACTTTAATGGAGGGGGCTATAGAGGTTATGAAATAAAAACATAACAGGGGAAAAATATACATATTTTTCATAAGTACTTTAAAAAATTTCATTATAAAAATTTAAGAATCTTGTGTGCATTTTAACTGCAAAAAGTAAAAGGGTTATAAAAACAAATGGTATTTTAGAAAGTTACACCCAAAAAAGGTATTTGTTTAATCTGTCAATGTATTTTCTTTAGGTAAAGGGGACCCCGCTTTTAAAAGCATTTTGGTCCAGGATAACAAAACAAATCATTAGTGAAAAGCTGTAAGTGAAGTCCCTGTAAAGGGGGGGACGCCTTAGCTGTATTTATGAATATTCATTCATATGATATGTTTACTAGTAGTAATGTCTCAAACCATCACCTGCTCTCTCTTATTGAAATAAAATTTTAATTATCCACATAAAATGGAGTGTTACAACTAGCCCCCCAGTGAACATGCCAGTACCACTCTTCCATAACTTCTGTATTCTTGAACAAGAGTTCTTCTATGCCCATTACTATGGTGTGATTAATGTATGATGTGAACCCCCAGGCCAAATGTAAATGAAGTGGTCTCGACTTCCGCCATGCCCTGGAACATGGCATCGGACACTTTCTTAATATACACAAGGTATAAGACATTACATTGTACTCTACTGGGTAACTGTACAATCCTCTGACTTGTTACTTCTTTAAATCTGCTTTTGTATTACAGCTATATACAGTTTTAATTATAAGAAATTAATTTTTTTAATTTTTTTGTAAAATAATGAAAAAAATACTACGTTATTAATTTTTTTTTTTGCAACAAGTTGACCCGTCTCCCCCGAGGCAGGTACCACAAAAAAGAAAGAACTATCCCAAAAAGAAAAATGCTTTATCATCAGTTCAACACTTTCACCACACTCACATCTAATCAACTGTTTTTTGCAGAGGTGCTCAGAATACAACAGTTTAGAAGCATATAACGAATAAAGATACACAACATACCCCTCCCAAAACTGCCAATATCCCAACCCATCCTTTAAGTGCAGGCAGTGTACTTCCCATTATCCAGGACTGCATCCGACTATAGAACAAATAACCGTTTCCTCCAATCCCTTCACTAAATAGTATCCCTGCTCACACTCCAACGAGATTCGTCCAGTCCCAAGTACCAATCCATCGCCATTCACATCCATCTAACACGACTATCTAACACGCTAACAGCACAGCTTGTTGAATCCAAGCCCCTTGCCCCAAAAACGCTTCCTATACCCCCTCATCTCCCAACCCTTTTGAGGACGACGCCCTACCTCGCCTTCCTTCCCCTAGTAGATTTAATGCTTTCCATGTCATTCGTACTTTTGATCCATTCTCTCTAAATGACGCAAACCACTCAACTACCCCTCTTCTGCCTCTGACTAATACTTTTATTAACTCACACACCTTTTCCTAATGTCCACACTCCGATTTTCTGCATAATATTTACTACCACTACATTGCCCCTTAGCAGACATCTCCACTGCTTCCAACCGTCGCCTCTCTGCAGCATTTAGCCTACCGTCAAGTCACACCGCATATAAAGTGTTTTGGCACTACTTATAACTTTCAAAACATTCTCCTTCGTTGCCTCCATAGATAACGTTTTTTGACTCCACATTACCTC